CAGGCACGTGCCACCATGCCCAGCTAATTTTTTGTATTTTTAGTAGAGACGGGGTTTCACCATGTTGACCAGGATGGTCTCGATCTCTTGACCTCGTGATCCATCCGCCTCGGCCTCCCAAAGTGCTGGGATTACAGGCTTGAGCCACGACGCCTGGCCCAAAACTTTCAAACATTACATAGGTATTGCAAACATTTTGGGGGCTATTTGGGATGTAGAAAAATTTTTAAAATACCCCTAGTCCAAATGTAACCATTGTTAGCATTTGGGTATGTTTTCTTTCAGTTTCATATGTATGGTTTATTATCTATTGCTGTGTGATAGAACCACAATCTTAGTGGCTTAAACCAATGCACCTCACAGCTTTGGTGGGGCAGGAGTCTGGGCATGGCTTAGCTGCTTCTCTGTTCAGGCTCACACAAGGCTGCAATCAAGTTGTTGGCTGGGGCGGGGTGCAGTGACTCATGCCTCTAATCCCAGCACTTTGACAGGCCAAGGTGGGCAGATTACCTAAGGTAAGGAGTTTGGGACCATCCTGGCCAACATGGTGAAACCCCATCTTTATTAAAAATACAAATATTAGCCAGGCGTGGTGGCATGGGCCTCTAATTCCAGCTACTTGGGAGGCTGAGGCAGAGAATTGCATGAACCTGGGAGGTGGGGGTTGCAGTGAGCCAATAGTGCAGCACTGTACTCCAGCCTAGACCACAGAGTGAGTCTCCATCTCTAAAAAAATAAAAAAAACAAATAATAAGTTGTTGACTGGGGCTGTGGAATGATCTTGGACTTGACCGGGGAAGGACCCACTTCTGAGCTCACTCAGGTTGTTCGCAGAATTCAGTTCGTTGTCGCTGTGTGACTAAGGGCCTCTGTTTCTTCCTGACTGTTGATGGGAGGCTACCTTAAGCTTCTAGAGGCTGCTCACTGTCCATGCAGGATTCACCAGCATAGCTGCCTGCAAGGCTCAAGCCAATATGGGGGAGAAAAACTCCAGCAAGATGGGTGTTGCAATCTTTTTTATTGTTTTTATTTTTATTCATTTATTTTTTGAGTGGGAGTCTTGCTCTGTCAACCAGGCTGGAGTGCAATGGTGTGATCTTGGCTCACCACAACCTTCTCCTGTGATTCTCCTGCCTTAGCCTCCTGAGCAGCTGGGACTACAGGTGCATGCCACCATGCCTGGCTAATTTTTTGCATTTTTCGCAGAGATGGGGTTTCACTGTGTTAGCCAGGACGGTCTCGAACTCCTGACCTTATGATCCACCTGTGTTGGCCTCCCAAAGTGCTGGGATTACAGGCATGAGCTACTGTGCCCGGCCTCAGGTATTGCAATCTTACATAACAAATCATGTAATCATGTGCATATCCTGTCACCTGTGCCATATTCTGTTGGTTAGCCCAGCTCATTTTTGTATTTTTAGTAGAGAAAGGGTTTCATCATATTGGCCAGGCTGGTCTCGAACTCCTCACCTTGTGATTTGCCTGCCTTGGACTCCCAAAGTGCTAGGATTACAGGCATGAGCAATAAAACAAGACTCCATCTAAAAAAAAAAAAAAAATAGTGCTTCTGGTCAGGTGCAGTGGCTCATGCCTGTAATCCCAGCACTTTGGGAGGCCAAGGTTGGAGAATTGCCTGAGCCCAGGACATCAAGAGCCTGGGCAATTCATCCCAAAGTACTGGGATTATAGGTGTGAACCGTTGCGTCCAGTCTTTATTTTATTTACTTTTTAGAGACAGGGTCTGTCTCCATCACCTAGGCTGGAGTGCAGTGGCGAGGTCATGGCCAACTACAGCCTCTACTTCCCGGGTTCAAGTGATCCTCCCACCTTAGTCTCCCGACCAGCAGGCACTATAGGCTCACACCACCACACTTGGCTAATTTAAAAATTTTATGTAGACTGGGTCTCCCTATGTTTCCTAACCTGCTCTCAAACTCCTAATCTCAAGTGATCCACTGCATGAGCCACGGCGCTCAGCCGTACATGTGATCTTCTGTGTGTCCCCTCAGCACCCACACTGGAGAACACGTGGCGGTGATAGGCCATGGGACTTGTGAGGAAGGGGATGATGTTCTGTCTTCTCTCTTTGAAGCCCTGGGCATGGACGCCTTCATCAAGGCCATGAAGAAGGTCCTGAGCAGTGCGTCGGATGACATGCTAAAGGAGCTGTTTTTGAAGGTGGACTCGGACTGTGAAGGCTTCGTCACCTGGGTGAGGAGGGTGCCCCGATGCCTCAGGTGCTGGAGGGAGGCTGGAGGGCCCAGTCCTTGGCCAATTGGCGGGGCTGAAGATGGGAGGCCATCACTACGTGGGAAAGCCTCCCTGTGGATTCCAGCCCCAGTCGAGGGGCTTGTGGGGTGGAAAGGTCCCTCCCGAGACCTTTGTGAGCTGAGTTCCTGGCAGCTCATTCCCCAGGGACAAGTGTCATTGGCTCCTGTGTGAGACCTACTGAGTGTGCAGTGGTGAGCACAAAGGCCTTCCCACCTGCCATGTGCCTGCCCTGCCCACCAGCCCCCCATTTGGCTTGGGGGATTCAAGCTGGTACCACGACCATCTCATGGCCCTTCACCATCACTAAGGAATAGGCCAACTTGGCCAGGCACGGTGGCTCACTCCTGTAATCCCAGCACTTTGGGAGGCCAAGGCGGGCAGAACACGAGGTCAGGAGTTCAAGACCAGCCTAGGCAACATGGTAAAACCCTGCCTCTACAAAAAATGCCAAATATTAGCGGGGTGTGGTGCTGCAGGCCTGTAGTCCCAGCTACTTGGGAAGCTGAGCTGGGAGGATTGTTTGAACCCAGGAGGTTAAGGCTGCAGTGAGCTGAGATTGTACCACTGTACTCCAGCCTGGATGACCAAGTGAGACCATGTCTCAGAAACAAAACAAAGCAAAACAAAAAAACTTACCTCCATTTGACAGATTGGGAAACTGAGGCATGGGGCAGTTAGGAAAGTTTGCCCAGGGCTTCAGCCTCATCAGCACTGGAGCCAGTATTCAAACCTAGGGAGCGTGCCTCGAGAGTCCCTGTGGTAACTGCAGTCTCGTAGCTCTCCTCAGCATAGGCATACACTCTGGGATTTATTCTTCTTAATTCTCTTGTTTTTATTTCTCTTAATGTTCTATAATAAGCATTTCCTTTAGAACAATGAGGCCAACTAAAAGAAAAAGAATAAAAAGTAATTTAAACCGGCTGGGCGTGGTGGGTCACGCCTGAAATCCCAGCACTTTGGGAGCCCCAGGTGGGTGATTTCCTGAGGTCAGGAGTTTGAGACCAGCCTGGCCAATATGGTGAAACCCCATCTCTATTAAAAATACAAAAATTAGCCAGGCGTGGTGGTGCATGCCTGTCGTTCCAGCTACTCGGGAGGGTGAGGCAGAAGAATCGCCTGAACCCGGGAGGTGGAGGTTGCCGTGAGCTGAGATTGCACGGCTGCACTCCAGCCGGGGTGACAGAGCGAGACTCCATCTTAAAAAAAGTAACCCCCCTGCATTCCCAGCATTCTCAGTGCTTTACCCAGTGGTCCTTCTTCACAACCCCCCATTTCGCATTATAGCTTTGTATGATGGCTGCTTTGGGCCTTGGCTGTGTTTTCCAGCAGCTGGGCAGCGGGATGGAGTATGGAGTTGCCCCAGTGGCCCTGGTTGTGGGTGCTCCCTGCTGTTAACCTGAAGTTTCAACATGGGCGTATCACATATCCTTATAGGGGCCTCGGTCTTATTATCCTTAGAGTGAATAAAGAGCTCCCAGGGCAATGCCTATTGTGGGGGTGATCTGAGGATGCACTTAGCACTTCAGGACGGCTAGGGAGGCGCTGCTGTGCTCTCTTAGTGAATGCTGCAAGTAGCCCCTTCCCATACTCAGGATTCGAGAATAGGTCTGCCGTCCAGGCGCGGCAGCTCACACCTTTAATCCCAGAACTCTGGCAGACCACTTGAGTCCAGCAGTTCAAGACCAGCCTGGGCAATATGGAGAAACCCTGTCTCTACAAAAAATGCAAAAACTAGCTGGGTATTGTGGCATGCATCTGTGGTCCCAGCTACTCAGGAGGCCGAGGTGGGAGGATCACTTGAACCTGGCAGACTGAGGCTGCAGTAAGCCGTGACTACACCATTGCACTCCGGTGGGAGGATCACTTGAACCTGGCAGACTGAGGCTGCAGTAAGCCGTGACTACACCATTGCACTCCAGCCTGGGAGACAGAGTGAGACCCTGTCCCAAAGGAAAAAAAGAAAAGGCCAGGTGTGGTGGCTCATGCTTATAATCCCAGCACCTTGGGAGGCTGAGCAGTAAACTGTGATCACACCACTGCACTCTAGCGTGAGTAACAAACAAACAAAGAGCAGGTCTGTTGCTTGACCACTTGCCTTGGCCAGTACTTGGGAAGCAGCCACCAGAGCCCCTTGGAAGAGCCTGGGAGAGATGGAGGGGCAGGGGGCTGGGAATCAGGTTTGCATTCTTGACGCCAAAGTCCGAGACCATTTTGCCTCCCTTGTGTTTTCTTTCCGAGGCAGCAAAAGTATGTGGATTACATGATGCGAGAGTTCCAGGGAAAGGAGGACATGCAAAAGAGCCAGTACCGCCTGCACTTCCACCTCCCGATGAGGGTCATCCCCCTGTAAGGAGCCTCTGCCTGGGCCCTGGTGGGTGGGGGTGACTGGACAAGTGCTGGTGCCAGCCTGCAGCGAGCCCCTCCCTCAGTCCGTGACCTCGCTGGTGCTGACCAGGGGGTTGGCGTCAGCCTGCTGCCTGATATCCTTTGGCTCATTTCAACCTCACAGCCCTGTAAGTGTTAGGATTGAGGTAGGTGATTTGTCCCCATTTTATAGATGAGGCCACTGAGGCCTGGAGAGGTCGAATGACTGGCCCCAGGCCAGTAAGTAGAAAATGGCAGGGCTGCTCTTTTTGGCCCTCTCAGACTCCATTCCCCAGTCAATATACAGCATTGCTTCTCCTGCTTCCTGGTTGGTGCGGAGTGGGTCTGGCAGTTTCATCACAGGGGTCCAGGTGGCCCAGGTGGCAGGCACAGGCAGGGCTAGGGGTTTCCTCCCAGGCGACAGGGAAGCAGCCCCCAGAGGGGACCACTGAAGCCTGTTTGGTGCATGGGGCCCTAGTTCCCCACTGCCCCTTGTCCTCTTTGATCTCATCCTTGGGTTCTGTTCCACCCTCTACCCCAGAGCACTAGAGCAGTTGCTAGAAAGTGCTGTTTCTCAGTTTTCAGCCTCAGGCTCCACTCTGCTCACTCTCTGTGGGTGGTTTTTCCTATGAAAGAAGCTTTGTGGGTGACCTCTGTTCTGTCTCCTCTGTCCCACCATGTCACGAGGAGGCTGGCTGGCTACTTCGCAGGATAAGCTTGCTGGAGCCCCACCTCATACCAGCTCTGGAGCCCCACCTCATACCAGCTTCTGGGGCCCTTTCTCTTTTGGCCACTGTTGATGATCCAGTAGAAACCCGCTTGGAGGAGGGGGCAGAGCCCCGCAGCTCACATAGCCGGCTATGTTTTCCTGGTGTGCGCACACGCATGCCTGTGCGTGATGCTCTGCTGGCTTTTGTCCTTCCTTCTCGGTGGTTCTCTGTTTTGCTGCAGGTGCCCCCTCCCTGAGCTGTTTTCACCTGAGCTCTTCTCTCTCATCACATTCCACAGGAACCATGGCTGTGAGGTGGTGAAGGTGACGTTTTTAATCCACCAGTTCAAGAAGATCGGGTGTTTCCTGACTGTCACCAAAGACGGGATCCTGCAGTTCTGGTCCGAGTCCTTCTCGCTGATCAGCTCCTTTAGGGTGAGTGGGGCCCGTGCGCATGGTGCACATATGGATCATCAGAGGGCCTCTGCCTTAGCACCCCGATGGTGAAGGTGACCTGGACACAGGCAGATTCATAGTCTGAGCAGCCTGGACTCGCAGTCACAGCACCTGGGTCCTGACTTGGCTTCCCTGTGGGAGCCATGCATTTCCCTTCCGCTAAGCAGGATTCCACCTGGATGCCTGTCCCATGCAGGCATCTTACAGAACCCCTCAAACCCGTTAGCCCAAACAGCATGTCCCTTCCGCTGTCCCTGCCCACTGGGTTAACTTCTCTTGCGTCCCCATCTCAGTGAATGGTATTGTCATCCCCAAGACTCCTGTGCTAGGGTCAGCCACTCCCACACTGTCCCCAAGTCCTGCTGATTCAGGCCTTTTGCCTGATCCAGGCAGGAGGTCATAGTGGTTGTGAGCATGGGCTCTAGAGCCCAACAGCCAGCGTTAGAATCCTGACTGTACCACCTGCCAGCTCCGTGACCTGGACAAGGTACTTACTATATATTCTCTGTGCCTTAGTTTCCTCATCTGTTAAATGGGGCTAGCTGTAGTGTTTCTTCACAGTGCAGTTGGGAACACTTGATGGTGTAATACATGTGTGGTGCTTGGGGCAGGGCAGGGCATGCAGCAAGTTCCCACTGGATTTAAGCTGACATCACCCTTGTCTTTGTGCTGCCAGCTCCTGGCTGAGAGTAGTAAGTGAGAAGACGCTCAGGAGAACTGCTTTGTACTTGGTCTCTAGGCCAGTCCAGAATCTTCCAGCAGATGAGAAAAGCACTGTTCTCCAGGGCTCTACAGAAAGGCTTATTGAGAATACAGCCCCCAGAGGAAGGGCTCTCTAAGCCTGTGTACCTGCAGAGTGATTCACAGTTGCATCAGAGCCCAGCCTTTGGGGAAGAAGAGGCCTGGGTGGAACTAGGGTGTGTGGAGGTCCCATGGCCCTCCTGGGTGCACCAAGAGGGAGTCACAATTGCTGTCCTGAGGCTGTGGCTTCCATAGCCCTCTGTTGGTGTCCTCCCATGTTGGGTGGCGCTGTCAGGGTCACCACCTGCAGGGGTCTGTCCTGCAGAACCCAACTCAGCCATGGATGAATAAAGTATGCTGACACACAGATATTATGCTTTGCCAGTTCAGCTGAGGGTCCGTGGTCACTTACAGAATCCCTGGAGAGTACTGTAAACAGTTGTGACCACCAGCCCCCACCAGCCAGTGAGACTTGCATTTATTCATAAAATTTAATTGACAGAGGCTTGAGTCAACACCACTAGAGGCTGGAGTTTAAAGCACAGGTTCTGATGCCCAAAGCAAACACCACTAGAGGGTAATATCCCTGGTTGACCTCTCCCTGAGAGGGCCATCTGGCTCAAAGATTATTATTATTATTATTATTATTATTATTTTTTGAGACGGAGTTTCGCTCTTGTTACCCAGGCTGGAGTGCAATGGCACGATCTCGGCTCACCGCAACCTCCGCCTCCTGGATTCAGGCAATTCTCCTGCCTCAGCCTCCTGAGTAGCTGGGACTACAGGCACGCGCCACCATGCCCAGCTAATTTTTTGTAGTTTTAGTAGGGACGGGGTTTCACCATGTTGACCAGGATGGTCTCGATCTCTTGACCTCGTGATCCACCCGCCTCGGCCTCCCAAAGTGCTGGGATTACAGGCTTGAGCCACCGCGCCCGGCCTCAAAGATTATTTTTAAGACCACATGAGTAAACAAGCTAGCTAGATAAACTACTTACATTCCTTTGTATTTGCACCCTAATCTCTCTGGCTCCTGCAAAGAGACTCTGTTTGCCTTCAGCCAAGAACTATAGAAAAAACCCTTAGGCTTTCCAAAAGGGTTTGATATTCTATAACTTTCTCTAAAATTTTTCCCTTAATATTTTTGCTACCACCCTGAGTGAATTTCCACAGCCATCCATCTTGCTTTTCTGTGTGTGGACTGGGGCAGGGTGTGTTGCGGCCAGAGCCCCTGCTTGTGGCTGCTACATGGTCACTGAAGCACCTCCAAAGGCTGAAGGGAACAGAGGAAGGCTCACTGGGAAGGCCCACCTGGAGGGGCTGCTTTAGCAGGAGTTGCCATCCCAGGACCACACACCCACTGTCATGCCAATGGAAAGATCTCAAGTTTGAGCTGGGTGGGGGGAGCTGAGCTCCACTCAAGAGCTATGTGATCTTGGGTACAAGTCACTGAAACTCTCTAGGGCTCTTTGATTCTCATCTGAACAGTGTGGGTGGTGGGAGTTATCAAAGCTACCAGTGTATGTGGGTTAGACTCTAGCCCTGAGCAGAAGAGAGGGACTCAGGGGGTTTCTGTCCCAGTCTTCATCACCAGAACCACCTAGGGAGCCCAATAGCACAGTCCTCTCTTCTCTTAGTGCCCTGAGCTCTGATGGAACAGGCTCCTCTCTGCCCCTGCCTTCCTTACTCCTCCTGAATACCCATCTAGAGGAATTGGTTTACGCTCCTCCCTGCTCCTTCCTCCCAGCTTTTCAGATCATACTTCTTTCTGCTTTCTTCAGTTCAGAGCCTGTGGTGTCATTCAGAGAGTAAAATACAGGGCCAGGCACGGGAGCTTATGCCTGTAGTCTCAGCACTTTGGGAGACCATGGTAGGTGGATCACTTGAGGTCAGGAGTTTGAGACCAGCCTGGCCAACATGGTGAAACCTTGTCTCTACTAAAAATACAAAAATTAGCCAGATGTGATGGTGCACATCTGTAATCCCAGCTACTCGGGAAGCTGAGGCACGAGAATTGCTTGAACCCAGGAGGCAGAACTTCCGGCGAGCTAAGATCACACCACTGCACTCTAGCCTGGGCAACAGAGTGAGACTCAGTCTCAAAAAAAAACAGAGTAAAATAGATTCCTTAGGTGGCCACACCCATCTCATATCTGATTCCTCTTCAACTCTAAGCCAAGTAGGCTGGCCTCCCCTCTTCCCTAGGACACAGGAGCTCACTTCTGCTGACCTGGCTTTGCTCATGGCTTCCCTTGTGTGGAGTGCCAGCCTGAATTCTGTGTGCGTGCATGTTACGTGAGTGCAGGAGGCACCGGTGCTGGGCTCCTACTGAGTGCTGGGCACCACCCTCAATGCTTTAACTTTCTTGTTTTTATTTTTGAGACAGAGTCTTGCTCTGTTGCCCAGGCTGGAGTGCAGTGGCATGATCTCGGCTCACTGCAACCTCTGCCTCCCAGGTTCAAAAAATTCTCTTGCCTGGGTTTCTCGAGTAGCTGGGACTACAAGCATGCACCACCACATCCAGCTAATTTTTTTGTATTTTTAATAAGACAGGGTTTCACCATGTTGGCCAGGATGGTTTTGATCTCTTGACCTCATGATCCCCCCACCTTGGCCTCCCAAAGTGCTGGGATTGCAGGCATGAGCCACTGCGCATGGCCACTTTAACTTTCCTTATTCCCTTCATTCCTTGCAACTTTGCAGAACAAATTCTTGTTATTAAGCCGCTTTGACCAGGTGATACCTGCAGATGGAAAACAGGATTCAGATCTATGGAGGGGCAGATAGTGGAAGTCAGTCTTCCTTCCCCCAGTTACTACTTCCTCTCCCTGCAGGCAACAGCTGTGACCAGTTTTGGGGTGGTCTTCCATGGCTATCCTCTCTACATGCCCCTTTCCTTTTCTTTTCTTTCTTTCTCTCTCCTTTCCTTTCCTTTTACATCTTTCTTTCTTTCTTTTTTCTTTTCTTTCTCTTTCCCTCCCCGCCCCACCTGTCTTTTCTCTTTCTCTTGGTCTTGCTCTGTCACCCAGGCTGGAGTGCAGTGGTGCAATGACAGCTCACTGCAGCCTCAACGTCCTGGGCTCAAGGGGTCCTCCCACCTCAGCCTGGGAGTAGTCCCAAGTAGCTGGGACTATAGGCCTGCGCCACCATGCCCAGCTAATTAAAAAAAATTTTTTTTTGTAGAGATGGGGTCTCCCTATGCTCCCCAGGCTGGTTTCAAGCTCCTGGGCTCAAGTGATCCTCCCGCCTTGGCCTCTGAAAGTGCTGAGATTACAGGCGTGAGCCACTGTGCCCTTTTCTTTTTAAATGTGCGACTGGAAGCATATTGTAATGCTGCTTGTTACCTTGGTTTGTCACTAATATCTCTTGGCAACTCTTCTTTATTGGCACGTGCACAGCTCCCTTGTTCTTAGTGTCTGGGTGGTGTCGGTGTCGGTGGTGTGGGTTGAGATCAGCTGTGCTTTCCAGGTGGCTTCTGGCCTGTTGCTCTAACAGCAGCTGCCCCGTCCCCTTTGAGTACATGCAAACACCCCCATAGAAATGTCTTGGAAACAGATCCCTGTATCATGAGCTATGCATATTCAAGACTTTGGTTTTTTTTTTTTTTTCCGAGACAGGGTCTCACTCTTGCCCAGGCTTGAGTGCAGTGGTGTGTTCACAGCTCATTGCAGCCAAGACTTTAGAACTGTGAGACTGCTCCAGAAGGGGATTGTAAAGAAGGTGTTCTTTTTTTGAGACAGAATTTTACTCTTGTTGCCCAGGCTAGAGTGCAGTGGTGAGACCTCAGCTTACTATAACCTTCACCTCCTGGGTTCAAGTAATTCTCCCGCCTCAGCCTCCAAAGTAGCTGGGATTACAGGCATGCACCACCATGCCTGGCTAATTTTTTGTATATCTATCTATCATCTATCTATCTATCTATCTATCTATCTATCTATCTATCTATCTATCTATTTCTTAGTAGAGATGGGGTTTCTCCATGTTGGTCAGGCTGGTCTTGAACTCCCAACGTCAGGTGATCTGTTCACCTTGGCCTCCCGAAGTGTTGGGATTACAGGTGTGGGTCACTGCGCCTGGCCCCAAGAAGGTGTTTTTTAAGCCCATTTTACAGATGGGGAAACAGACTCAGGGAGGCTGGGGAATTTATCCAGGGCCCCCATTGCTAGTCTTAGTGGTAGTGCTGGGCTCCATGCCAGGTCTGTGGTGGCACCAGGGCCTCATGTGGCAGGAGGCGTTCATAGGGAGCTGTGCTGGCCTGGGCATGCTTCCCAGCCCCTCTCCTCTGCTCTTCCTCTGGCAGCTTAACCAGACCCAGCAGCTCCACAACCAGCCGATGTGGGTCATTGACATGGTATGTCTGCACAATATGAACCTCGTTGCGATTGCGTCTACCAAACAAAAGATAGGTGAGTCCCTGGGGACTCCCCAGCCTTGCTCTCAGCCACTGGGGGACCTGTATTGGTGCCTGGGAGAGGTCTGTTGGCTGAGCAACTGTGAACATGGATCAGAGCCCCTGGGAGGATGGCCAGATGGCGAGGCCTTAGTGCCGAGTAGGCAGGGGATGGTCAGTGAATGCTCGCGTGACACAGTGATGTTGAACAGACCCGAATTTACAAGCCAGAGCCCGTAACCAGTCTATCTCCGGTCCCAATTCTACATCCTGCCTCTTGCCACTCCTAGTCCAGGCCACCTTCACTCTCACTGAAATAGCCTCTCCTGCATGCTGTGCTTCCCCTCATGCCCCTAAAGGCAGGATGTGCATTTACAGTGCCCCTCTGCAGAAAGCCTTCACCCTACCCTAGTGCTCTTAGGATGGAGGTGGGATCCTTAGTGTGGTCTATGAGGCCTTCAGAGGTCTGACCCCTGCTGCCTCCAGTAGTCCCCACCTGTCCCCTCCCTGTGGTGCTGAGGCCACTGTGGCCTCCTCTCGCCTCCTCTGACAGGCGCTGTGGCCTTGGTCTCTGCTCTGCCGTCCCTCCTGCCCCTCTCTCTGACCCCACAGTCTCTGCTTTTCCTTTGGCTCTCATCTCAGAAGTCACTTCCTCCAGGAAGCCCTCCCTGACCCTCTAGTCCAAGATCCTCTGTTAGTAAGACCCCATGAGATTGTACCTCTTCCCTTCAAGGTCCCCCTTTCAGTGTCATCTCACATGCATTAGTGTGCTTCTGTTCAGCACGTGTCTCCTCCTCCAGACTGGAAGCTCCATGAGATCAAGGACTGCATCTCTTCTGCTCAACTCAGTGTCTTGGTGCCTGGTACCTCCTGGATGCTTGATGTCTGTTGAATGGATGGATAATGAATGAGCGTCTGACTGAGCACACCTGTAAGGTGGTCAGGAAGAGGAAATTCATACCTGAAACTATAGCTGGCAATGCGAGGCTGAATGGGGGGAGAGAGAGCAGCTGTCTGGAACAAGCAGGGACTTTGGAATCAAAAGGACCTGGGTTCAGACCCTGGTACCACTGCTCTGTAGATGTCTGCCTTGGAGCAATGACTTTACCTCCCAGTGCCTCGCTTTACCCAGAGGTAAAATGGGGCCAATGATAGATGGCTCCAGGGTGAGTGTGGCTTAGTGGTTGGCGTGTGAAGCTCCTGGCGTGGTGCCTGGCACAGAGTGGGCTCCTAATCAACATTGACATCATTATGAGGCTAAATTGTGTGATACAGAGAAAGTGGTCAGCCATCAAGCAAGGGCTAGAGCAATCTCTCTGTGATTCACACCTGGGCTTTCCATTGCAACACCTGTTTCCAGGGGCTCAGGTGCTGTCCCAGGCGTTCTGGTCCTTCATCCTCAGACCTGAGAATTTGGCATTAGAACCCCATTTTTTTTTTTTTGAGACAGAGTCTCACTCTGCCACCTAGGCTGCAGTGCAGTGGTGCAATCTCGGCTCACTGTAGCCTCTGCCTCCTGGGTTCAAGTGATTCTCCTGTTTCAACCTCCTGAGTAGCTGGACTAGGGATTCATTTATTTTTGTTGAAAAAAAGAGGCCGGGCGCGGTGGCTCAAGCCTGTAATCCCAGCACTGTGGGAGGCCGAGGCGGGTGGATCACGAGGTCAAGAGATCGAGACCATCCTGGTCAACATGGTGAAACCCCGTCTCTACTAAAAATACAAAACATTAGCTGGGCATGGTGGCGCGTGCCTGTAATCCCAGCTACTCAGGAGACTGAGGCAGCAGAATTGCCTGAACCCGGGAGGCGGATGTTGCGGTGAGCCGGGATCGCGCCATTGCACTCCAGCCGGGGTAACAAGAGCGAAACTCTGTCTCAAAAAAAAAAAAAAAAAAGACTTCTGGATGAAAAAAAAGAGTGTTGAATTCTGGTTCAGTGATGGACTGGACCTGGTCTTTTGGGCCCGTGTTTGTCAGCTCATCAGGCATCTGGGTGTACAGGCACGCGCCACCAGTCCTGGCTAATTTTTGTATTTTTAGGAGAGATGTGATTTCACCATGTTGGCCAGGCTGGTCTCCATCTCCTGACCTCAGGTGATTCACTTGCCTCAGCCTTCCACAGTGCTGGCATTACAGGCGTGAGCCACTATACCCAGCCCACAACCCCATTTTAGAGATCATTATGTCATCACTGCTGTCCCGATGTAGCAGCTGTCACCTGCTCGGAGGCACTCAGTCAAGGCCAGAAGCAGGGGTAGAAGTGGCACCAGTGTGACCCCTGGCCTTTGTGGCCCCGGCCCAGCCCACCCAGGTCTCCTCTTGTGACCCACAGCCCTCTGGGGTGGCTGGCCATGCAGAGAGGCAGAGGAAGGCAAGAGACTGCCATCCAGATGTGGAGACAGCCTGGTGGCGAGGCTGTTGCTCATCAGAGTCTGGAAGTGAGGCTGGATCTGTTGGAAGGAGTCAGATTTTTTTTTAATTGAGGGTCTTGCTCTGTCACCTGGGCTGTAGTGCAGTAGTACAGTCACTGCTCACTGCAGCCTCAAACTCCTGGGCTCAAGCAATCCTTCTCCCTTGGCCTCCCTAAGTGCTGGGATCACAGGCGTGAGCCACCACATCCAGCCTGGGATTTTATTCCAGCTGCAGTGGGAAGCCGTTGGGGGTTTTCAGTTGGGTTTCCAGTTGGGGGTTTACTCTGTGAACAGCTGCTTATAATTGCTCTGAGGGAGAAGGGCTGAAGGGCTGAAGGGGGCAGATTCCTTGGGAGAGCCATGAGGCTGCTCACTGTGCCTGAAGACCTCCCAGGCATGGCTTGGGCTCCATGTGGCTTCTGTCTCTCCCCCAGAGTTCTTTGATATTAGTGATCACAGGTGTGTCCGGGCCTTCACCTTCATTGATCTGGACAGCTGTGCCCTGGTCATGGACTACTGGTGAGTTGTCCTCAGGTGCTCGGGGTATCGGCAGCAGCTGCATCACTGGCTAGGGTTGGGGCCCCCAGAAAGCCTCCTTGGAAACAGCCCTGGAAAGATCTCCCCACTGGCTCCAAGGCCCCTGCGTCCTCCTCCCCCAGGGTCACTCAGAGCTTGGAGTCATTGTCACTCCCTCACCCAAGACGGCCAAATCCCAGCAGAGGCTTGTCTGGCTTGTCTGGCTGTGGCTGAGGATTTTGGGGACGTCACAGTCTATTGGGAGGGGTGACTTGACAAAGGGCAGCTGGAGGACTAGGGATTCATTTATTTGGTTGAAAAAAAAATTGAATCCTGGTTCAGTGATTGGCGGGACCTGGTCTGCTGGGCCCGTGTTTGTTGGCTCATCAGGTTTCTTGGCAAGGTTGGAAGGTCTTGTTGGAACTGCCCTTGCTTCCAAGAAGGAGGGAGGCCGTTGGGGGCCCAGAGAGGAAGTAGAGGCTCCACAGCCTCTTTATTTTCTTCTTCTTTTTTTGAGATGAAGTCCCACTCTGTCTCCCAGGCTGGAGTGCAGTGCCACCATCTCGGCTCACTGCAACCTCCACCTCACAGGTTCAAGTGTTATTCTCCTGCCTCAGCCTCCCGAGTTGCTGGGATTACAGGTGCCCATCACCACACCTAGCTAATTTTTGTATTTTTAGTAGAGATGGGGTTTCACCATGTTGGCCAGGCTGGTCTCGAACTCCTGACCTCAGGTGATTCACCTGCCTTGACCTTTCAAAGTGCTGGGATTACAGGGTGAGCCACCATGCCCGGCCCACACAGCCTCTTCTGTCCTCATCTTTCCCCAGGTCTGACTATCACCGAGGTGTGTTCTGCTATGGGGATGCCAAGGGCAACGTCATCGTCTTCACCTCTGAAAACGTGGCCAGTGGGCTGTTCAACCCTCGTATCCTCCCCAGGGCCTCCAAATGGGGTAGCTAAGATGCTGGGGAAGGGGTGGAGGCCTGGGCACGGCCTACATGTGGGTGCTGAGCCCATCCTGATCCCCATGCCCCCCACCCCCTGTCTCTGCTTGGGAGCCTCTGGGAAGATGTCTGTTTCTGAGTGCAGGGTGTGTGCCGCTCAGCTCAGAGTGCAGAGGGAGAGGTGATGGGCAGCAGAAGACCAGGAGGGCTGGGGAGAGGGCAGACTCTCTGAGGATGGGTGCAGCTGAGGGAGTGCTGGATGCTCCTCACCCCAGGATGATGCCAGTGGGGGGACCCTGGGGAAGTCCCTCACCCACTCTGATACTGGGTGAGAGCGCTGATGCTAACTTCCTCAGATGGTGGTGAGGAGGCTTCTGCTCTCCTTGGCTCTGGTGATGCTTTGGGTGGGCAGGGGCTGTCCCGGAGGCGGGCTCTGTGGGGCCTGGGCATGGCCTGGCTGGCGTGGGTGAGTGGGCGCACTGGCGTATGGAGCACCCCCTGCTGGGCTTACTGTCGGGAGGGAGGAGATGTGGCTACAGCCCAGAATAAGAGGCAGAGAGGGGTGAGGTCAGCTGCACACACCCCTGCTGGATGAGCGGGGGCTAGGATCTGAAGTCAGGCTGCCTGCCCTGGAGTCTGTGCTGTTAGCCTTTTGTGGGCTGCATCCCACATTGACTAAACGCAGGAGGAAGTCACTGGAGCTGTTCTGCCCAGGTCGCTAGATCCCCAGAGGACATGGCTCAGGGCCACCTAGGGAACCCATCTGAACTGGAACCTCTCCAGAATCCAGCCTTGCACGCACATCCACTAGGAGGCCCAGGCCACCAGGGGGCCCACACAGGGACATCGACCCCTTTTCCAGCCAGAGATACTAAGCAGGACACTCCAGGGCTTCCCAGGCCTTGGTGGCAGCCCCCTGGCAGGCTTGTTGGGGAGCATCCTGCGCTGGCAGGGCAGGGACAGATCCTGTCCTGGACATAGCAGTGGGCTGGCACCTGCTTGCCTCATTGGCCTGCCCTGAGCTGCTCACTCAGCTGCTTGGGCCTCCTCGCTCTGCGCCACCCTGGGAACTGGCATGGGAAGTTGTGGTGGTGAGTGGGTTATTGAGGGAGGCAGATGACATTGGCATGTTGGGCAGGAGTCCTTCCACGTCACCTGCTGATTGAAGGCTGGGGACAAACAGGAAGATGAGGGGGGCCCAGTGTGTGGATTTGGGAGGAGATGGACAGACCCACGTATGCACCCCAGCTCTGCATGACCTGGAGCCAGTTGCTTAACCTCTTTGTGCCTCAGTTCCCTTATTCAAATGGGTACGGGCCTACTTCATTGATGGCTTTGATATAAGACATGTGGGGCCAGGCATGGTGGCTCATGCCTGTAATCCCAGCACTTTGGGAGGCCGAGGTGGGCGGATTAGGAGCCTCAAACTCTCAGGAGTTTGAGACCAGTATGGCCAACATAGTGAAACCCCATCTCTACTAAAAATACAAAAAAATTAGCCAAGTGAGGTGGTGTGCACCAGTAGTCCCAGCTACTCAGGAGGCTGAGGCAGGAGAATCACGTGAACCTGGGGGGCAGAGGTTACAGTGGCGAGATTGCGCCACTGCACTCCAGCGTGGGTGACAGTGTGAAACTCCATCTAAAAAAAAAGATCTGTGGAACATTAGGCACCTAGTAAGTGCACAGTGACTATGACTTCCTCCCTGCCCTCCCTGGAACCTGACAGCCTAGTGGGAGAGACAGGCAGGTAAACTGACAGCTAAACCACAGTGCATCATAAAGCTGACTCCTGTCTGTGCCCGGGCATGACCAGCCCCACTTTGGCAGTCTTGGGCAACTTTCCACTCCTCCCTGGGACTTCCTTTGCAAGCTTCCTCCTGCCCTTGCAGGATGGGGCTGGTGACTTTGCAGCAGTGAAATGCTTGGCCTAAGCCCCCAGATCGGTGCTTGTGGCCTCTTCCCTCCTCGAGCCCTGGGAGGAAACCTGAGCCTCGAGTGCCTGGCACTTCTGACCTGCCTCCTTAGACTGCCCTGACGGAGGACCCACATTTGTCCCTGACTGCTGGCTCCACTCATCTGTGTCTGATTGGCTTTGCTTTCCCTGAAGATTTATCAGCTGCTGGCCTTGAATGGTTTTGGCGGCTGGGAGACTCCAAGCCCCATGAGGGCTGCACCTGGCATGTCTGAATTCCTCCAGATGTGCTTGTTTTATTTATTTTTAAGTATTTTTCAAATGGATTTTTATTTACTTATTTTAAAAAATTTGAGACAAGGTCATGCTCTGTTGCCCAGGCTGGAGTGTAGTGGTGCGACCATGCTTCACTACAGCTTCGATCTCCCGGGCTCAGGTGGTCCTCACACCTCAGCTTCCCGAGTAGCTGGGACCACAGGCACGCCACCACTATTTCTGGCTAACGTTTTGTTTTTTTGATTTTTTTGTAGAAATGGCTTCTCACTGTGTTGTCCAGGCTGGTATCTTTTTTTTTTTTTTTTTC